CATTTTTAAATCATTAATAATTTTAAAAATATAATTGATATGTTACCTGACTATGCAATAAATTACATGTTTGTGTTAAATTAGTTACAACATCTACATTTTGTGCAATATTTTCATTGTCATTATTTGTAGAATCTCGATTAGGTTGAAGACTAACAACTTTTTTCCACAATGCATTAATTGCTTGCATTTGCAATAACTGTAACTTATGTTCACTTTCTAAAGCAGTTCTAGTGGCTTCCATATCAGTAGTTAGTTTCCTAAAAGATTAATAAGTTATACAATATTTTGGGAAAGATATTAAATTAAATTAAAGAGAAAATGATCATACTGAATATATTTATTTGTTCTTATCATTTCAATAGTTTTCAGTATAGTAGTTGCTTTTTTATTAAGATTTCTTGTATGATATCCTCTCCACATTCTTTGAATACATATTGCTGCTTTTTCAGCTTCATCTTGATCTGTTTTAAAAATAAAAAATTATTTTACTTTAAAAAATTTTTACATTTATTTAAAAAAAAAGAAAAAAATAATTACCTTTATTGTCTTCTTGTCTTCGTTGAATAGCTCTATGTCGAATACTATCTAATTTTGCTTGACATACTTCGCTATCTTCATCACTACTTTGAGTAGCATTATCAGCATCTCCATCTCCATTTTTTTTAATAACATTGCTTTTAATTTTATCATTTGTACTCTTTGGTCTTTGTATATTTCTGCCTAAATTTGGTGAATTTTTTGTATTTCGTTTGGCAGACAATGTTTTGCTTTGAACATAGTTATTAATTTTCACACTATGGGGACATTTATTACTAGTATTTGTAATAATAGGTTTAGCAATATTTGGTTTTCCAGTAGTACAATTTGTTGCTGAATTACTTTTTACAAGTGTATTTGCTTTAATAGAAGTAAGATTTGTTTTTGCCATTGGATTTACTGTATTTATTATAGGAATTGCTTTACTATCTCCATCACAAGTAGGTTTGTTTGGCACTGTAATTTGACATGGTGATGTTAATTTACTTGGTGGAGTTTTTGCTAAAACTCGAGAAAGACCAGATGGTGGACGAAAATCTGGACTCATTAAAGATTCTGGAACTGGTACTAGTTTTGTTGCAGCTTGCAAAGGACTTGATGTTTCTGCAAATCAAGTTTTTAATTATGTATATTTATTTAATAAATATAAATATAAAATGCTAATAATTGATAAGATTTATTACATACCTTCTGTATCAATAATATTTGATGCTTTATTGTTTAAAGTATTGCAAAGCATATTTGGATCCAAACTTTGAGTCATTAAGGATTCCTGATCTTCGGGTAATAATGTATGGCATGAAGAAACTATAGTATCAGTATGACAACTAGATACCATTCTATCTGGTGATCTTATTCTTAATGAATTTCTTGATGAACCTAATTAAATATCATCTATTTTTATTAAATTTTTAATTTCATTAATTATTATTTATTTATTAAATATATTTAATTATATTTATATATTTATTACTAAGGCAAAAGCATGCAAATAATTAATAATTTAATTATGAATAAATAAGATAAAAATTGTGAACTATGTGAAATATATTTCCAAATCGTCAAATGCTAATATGCTAAACAAATTTTCTAATTAGCATCATTATCATAACATTGCAATTTTTCATTCTCCAAAGTCATTTGCGCTATAAGCTTAAAAACGTAATCACATAAAAATATACTATATACTATAGGCATAAAAGAGATAAACATATGCATTAATCCAAGATAAAATTTTTTCAAAATGTACTATTTTTATTATTACTTAATTCTAAGTTTATTATTTTAAATTATAAATAATATTTATCTTAGATTTATTATATAATAATATTATCTTAGATTAATATTTATCTTAGATTTTTACACATGCTTATAATGTAATTGTAATCATGTACAATTAATTTTCATTTTGACTTTGGATACCTTTACAAGGTGAATGGCACACACAGTATTTTGCTTCATAAAATTTTGGCGATTGTAAGCATTTATCTTCATAGTATGTCAACATTGGCGCAACTAGAGAAAATACATTATAACTAGGATATATAGATGCATGACGACTGGAAAGTTTACATCACTACTAGTCCACGTTTTATAATTAATAAGAAAACTTTAAACAAATTTTTTATTGTATTGACAATAATAATAAAGAAAATCAAGTCAGTTAATCTTAACTCACTGGCACGTCTAGGAGAACCTGTCCTGTTATGACTAAGTCTACGCCTAGTGGCTGGAGAAGGACTCATTCCAACGCTACTTAAGCTGTGCACACTTCCAGTATCGCTTTGTTGATTTAATTGTTGTTGATGATGTTGTGCTTTACTTAAAATCAGCCTTAGCTTCCTGTCTGTTTCATTTTCTAAGGATTCGCCAGAAAGTGGGCAAACTGATGCTAAATACTGTGCAAGCAATGCATGTTCGCCAACACGGAATTGTCTACCGCGTCCCTGAGAATATAGCCACTCTGCTTTTAAACTGAGTGACCATAATTTTAAGTAAATTTTAATTCTTTAAACTAAATAAAATTCTGTATAATTAAATTATATATCATGACTAATGTATCTAAAAAGATACCCACCTTTCAATAGGATCAACAGGATAGCCATCAATTGATTTCAAGCTCATACACCAATTGATAACAAAAGGTCGATAATCAAAACCACTATAAGCTATTTGTTAAGAAACTATAGCTGTAAATCTACAGTTATAAATATTTTTTATACCTAAAACTCTCTACAAGCATATTTGATAGATAATAAAAAATAAATATTTGATAGATAAAAATAACTTTATAAAATGACATCCAGAATAATGAAAATGTTATAAATATATTTCTGCTATCTAATTTGATTTCTAAAATCTAAATTAACATTATTAATATAAATTATATAATTACATGTAAAAAGGATACGTACTATTACCTGTCATACTAACACATGGATTATTAGCAATTGAAAAATTTATTAAATTTTTTAAATTAGCTAAATGTGACATTTCATTTAAATCAGTAATATTATTATTTGCCAATGTAAACGTTTCTAAAGAAGTAGGTAAATAGCGTTCACATTGCCTTAATGTTATTATACGATTGTTATGTAGAAACAATTCCTAAAATACCATTAATTTTATTAGAATTAAGATTAAAGATCATATATTTTATTATTATATATATTATTATATATATTATTATATATCATATATTCAATATAATTGAAAAAAAATATAAATTTTAAATTTATATTATTTAAATTTAATATTTATAGTTACTTTTAAGTTCCGTAGATAAGATATGTCTGAAATATGACTGATACTATTTTCAGACAAGTCCAAATGCTCCAATTTAGTATTTGTGTGCAAATGTTCAATAGACTAATAGATTAATATAATGTTATAAAGATTGAATAATTTATAATATCACATTAAATATATTAAATTATATTAAAAAATTATATTTATACCTTTATGTTATTACCAGCTAAACAAAGTGTATGTAAATTTATCATATCCTTTATACCTTCTATGGTTAAAATACCATTATTTGCTAGATTAAGAGTTACAAGATTATGTAACTTTGATACTCCATACATACGTAGTAATTGATTCCTTACTATTGATAGCTGAAATAATTTAATTATAAAAATTTTAATTAATCAATTATTTAACTTATTAAAAGTAATAATTAATATTTATATAATATATCATAAAAATAAATAAATATATATATAATATATATACATAAATTTTATGTATCATATATATTGTCACAAATATATTACCTTGGTAATTCTATGGTAAGAATCAAGATTATCAAGACGCTGAAGTTCATTATCGTCAATGATCAATGTGCTAATATCTGCATCAGACGGACAACGAGGAAGCTTCTTTAAACCTTGACCACTTAGATCGAGTGTATCGCATACTAAGGATTCTGTATAAGTTAATACAGTGTTTCACTATTATTAATTTAAATAAACACATAAATATCTAAACATAAAATAACAGAAAATGTCAAAAGGCAAGTATAAGAACGCAATAAAATTGTAGCATTTATATATATATATATATATATATATATATATAAATTAAATTTATAACTTGTAAAAAATTAAAATATTTTAAAAATATCTAAATTATTTTTATGAAGATAATTTGTATAAGAATTGTATAATATAAATATTAAATTTTTGCTAACCCGTCGAAGCCATGATGAACACAATAAATTGGTAGACGCTATGAAGATGTCGTCGTAATCACTATAGTAAATACTTAAAAAATAAGGGAATTTTATACTTTATAAAATATTTACTTTTCTCTTTATTTTTCTATAAAAATATAAGAAAATATAAAAAAAATGAGATAATATATAATATCATTCTATTATTTTTCTAATCACATTTATTTTTATTAATAATATTTTCTCACAAGATTTAAATTGATATAATTAATTTTTATTTAAATAAAAAAATATTATATAATTAACATTGTAATAACATTATATTTATAATATACAAATTTTCTAACTATAATAAATAATAAATAAATGATTAAAAAAAATTCAAAAAAAATGTTAATATGGCAATTTAAAAATTCAGTATACTTTTGATATAAGTTCACAAATTAAATTAAAATATTAAATTGTTAAGTTGTTAAATATTCTTATATTTTTTAAAATATAATTTATAAGTAACAGGTAAGATTTAATGTAATATAATTAATTAATAACATATCTTTTATATGTTATCGTAATATTAAAATCACGTGCTAACTTTGTATGAAATTATAAAATTATAAAAGAATTAAATTAATAATGAAACGTTATTTAATTAATGTATATAATAGTCACAAATATATTATTATAAATCGCAACATTAGTGAAATTGCAGGCAAGCAATTTACAAAAAAAATTATTAACAGAAAACATAAGTCCTTTCTAACCTCAAAGAAAAATACTAATTCATACAATAAAAATTATAAAAACTTTATTAATAAAGATTATATTCTTAATGCATCACTTACATCAAATAATACTCAAATAAATGACAAATGCAAAATTTTATTTAATGTATCTAAAAATAATGAACAATGTTTTTTATCACCAATAAATAATATGAATAATAATTATAAAAATGTTCTAGTAGAACATAAAGATATACAAATATTAGAAAATAAAGAAAAAGAAATTTGTAATGAAAGAATTAATGAAAGCGATATAAGAATTAATGAAATAAATATACAAATGCTTCCAAAATCATTACATAAACAGATATTTAAAAATTCTGGAAAGTCACAAAAAATATCAAAAGAAGAAATACAATCTATAAAAAATCATTTGCACTCATATGGAATAAAAATAGAAGATGCAACTAGACTTCCTAAGGTTGATATTAAAATACCTCCTTTGGAAGGAGATGATATTGAACAACATTTTTATAATATTGGAAAGGCACAAATTAAACCTTATATAAAACTTATAAAAAATATTATGAAAAATATTCCTCAAATGCCAAATCAATGGATATTGAATGAAGGATGGACAAGGTATACTGTTGATAATATACAAAAAGTAGATTATCCTTTAGAAGATGCTATTATTTTTGATGTAGAAGTTTGTATTAAAGAAGGTTTTTTACCGACATTAGCAACTGCAGTAAGTGATAAAGCATGGTATGGTTGGGTATCAAAGTCTCTAGTTGATGGTGTGAGTAGAAACTTTGAAGGAAAACAATATAGTATGGATGAATTAATACCAATGGAAAGTATAATTACAGAACATGGTGAAAAATTAACTTCTTTTCATAAAAAGCCAAAAATTATAGTTGGTCATAATGTATCATTTGATAGAAGTAAAATTAAAGAGCAATATTGGTTAAAACAAACAGGATTAAGATTTGTTGATACAATGTCACTTCATATATGTATTAGTGGAATTAACAGTTACCAGAGATCTATTTTAAATTCCACAAAGAATATAGAAGAAAAATATAATTTACAAATGCGAACTTCATTAAATAATTTAGCGGATGTTCACAAATTTTATTGTGGTTCTGAAATAAATAAAGATGTCAGAGAAGTATTTATAAATGGAACTTTGAAAAATATTAAAGAAGATTTTAATTCTTTGATGATTTATTGTGCAAATGATGTAATTGCAACTCATAATGTTTTATGTAAATTATTTCCTATTTTTGAAGAAAGATTTCCTCATCCTGTTACTTTAGCAGGAATGTTAGAGCTTGGTACTGCATATCTGCCAATAAATTCTAATTGGAAAAAATATTTAAATGAATCAGAGACTACATTTGAAGATTTAAATTATGAAACTAAAATTATTCTTACTAAAAGAGCTAATGCTGTTTGTAAACTTTTGCATAATGAAAAATATAAAGAAGATTTATGGATGTGGGATGAAGATTGGAGTACACAAATGCTTAAAGTAAAAACACAGTCTTCAGGAAAGAATTTAAAAAATATATCTCAAATACAAAGTGCAAAAAGAAAAAAAGAAACAAAAACTCAAAGTTATTTAACAGATGATGAAGATGAAGAAGATCCTTTGGAAAAAGAATTTGCTTACTTGACAGAGACAAAAAAATTTTTACCTTTAAAATTACCATATATGCCAGGATATCCTGCTTGGTATCGAAAACTTTGTTTCAAAATAAATGATGAAAATTGGTCTCCAGGTCCTCAAAACATAAGTATTTCTAAGCAAATTGTTCCAAAACTTTTAAATTTAACATGGGAGAATTTTCCATTACATTACGTAAAAAATAAAGGTTGGGGTATTTTAGTTCCTTATACTAATGATTTAAATATTGAAACTAAAATACCTTTAAAACAGCTTTTAGCTCAATGTGCTTTATCTAAAAAAGAATATTTATCAGATGAAATATACACAATGTCAATGATGAATAAAGAATTGGAAAATGATTTACATAAAACTGAATTTTGGTATAACATAAAAAAAAAGCCTAATATTCAATTAACTGATATTTATAAAGGCAGTGCACATTGGTGCGATCTTAATATAGATAACTGCTGTTACTTTTTTAAATTGCCTCATAAAGATGGAAAAAATTATAATGTTGGTAATCCTTTAAGCAAAAATTTTCTGAATAAATTTTCGGAAAACATATTAGCTAGTTCAGATACTGATGCTATGAAAATATTGAAAATAGCTAGAATGATATCATATTGGAGAAATAATAGAGATAGAATTATGTCACAATTTACAATATGGTTTGAAAAATCATATTTATCATGCAGTATTAGAAATTCTAAAAAATCAATGTGTTATGGAGCAATTTTACCTTTAGTAGCTGTATGTGGAACATTAACTAGGCGAGCAGTAGAACCTACATGGATGACTGCATCTAATTCTGATACTGAACGTGTCGGTTCTGAATTACGAGCAATGATTCAAGCACCACCAGGATATAATATTGTTGGCGCCGATGTTGATAGTCAAGAATTGTGGATTTCGTCCATAATAGGTGATGCTTATTATAAAAAAATTCATGGAGCAACACCATTTGGCTGGATGACATTAATTGGTACTAAAGCTAATGAAACTGATATGCATAGTGTTACTGCTAAAGCAATTGGAATTTCTAGAAATCAAGCTAAAATTATCAATTACGCTAGAATTTATGGTGCTGGCCAAAAATTTGCTGAAACACTCTTGAAACAATTTAATCCGTCCATGACGGATAGCGAAGCTATATCAAAATCTCGAAAAATGTTTACTATGACAAAAGGAAAAAAGATTTATAAATTAAAACCTGAATATATTAATAATTATATTGGTAATAAACATTATTCATCATACGAAGCATACAAAATATCAAAATTATATGATAAAAAAATATCAGAAATGTTTGAGAAAAGTAAATGGGTTGGTGGTTCAGAATCTGCAATGTTTAATAGATTGGAAGAAATTGCGTGTAATCCTCATCCTGTTACACCTTTTTTAAACTCTAGATTAACTGTAGCGTTAGAAAGTCCAATAAATGATGAGAAATTTTTACCTACAAAAATAAATTGGGTAGTGCAAAGTGGAGCAGTCGATTTTTTACATTTAATGCTAGTTTCGATGAAATGGCTTATGAAAGACCATGTCAGATTTTGTTTATCATTTCATGATGAAGTACGCTATTTAGTGCCGTCAAAATATAAATACAATGCAGCACTTGCTATGCATATTACTAATCTTTTAACTCGATCATTTTGTGCATCGAGATTGGGAATGAATGATCTTCCGATGTCAGTAGCATTTTTTTCTTCTGTAGAAGTAGATACGGTTTTACGTAAAGAACCTGAAAATGATTGTATTACGCCATCGAATCCTCATGGCTTAAAAAATGAGTATGAAATTCCTCCAGGAGAAAGCTTGGACATATGGTCTGCTATTGATAAATCTAAAGGTTCTTTAGGACCGTGGACTGCAAAACAATAAAAAATTGAATTTAATTAATAACATGAGAAATAAAAAGATTGATATAAAATTGATATAAAATATAAAAATGATATGTTAAAAATCATTGAATAACATTAACAAATAATGATAAATAAAAAATGATAATGAAATGAAAATTTGTTTTAAAACATAATGTATATAAAATTTTTGTTATATTTGATTTTATAGATTAAAATGTCCAAAGCAACCAAACGGAAATATGTTACCAAAGAAATTGAAGATTTGAACATTCCTACAGAATCACAATCAATAGTTCGAGTTGTAAAACCATGCGGTAATAATCTTCATGAAGTTATTAATCCAGCTGGAATTCAATATCTCGTATCTATGCCAGTAAAATTTAGGCAAAATATTTGGATAAAACGAGGAGATTTTGTATTGGTAGAACCAATTCCAGAAGGGGACAAAGTGAAAGCTGAAATTGTTAAAATATTAACACGAGTATGCATAATAATAAATATATTTTTATATGAATATACTTTTTTAAAAATAAAATTTATTTATTAGGAACATAAAAAATGGTATCGAAAACAGAACTGTTGGCCCCAAGAATTTGACGAAATTTCAAATTCGAAACAAAGAACAATTAAAGAAGATAGTGATAACGAAGAAGATGATCTTTTTATAAATAGAAATAGATTATTACAAAATAGGATAGATAATAACAGTAATACAAGTTCTGAAGAATCTGATTCTTGTTAATGTTTTTGTAATGATATTATAATAATAAAGTAAGTATAATATTTATATACAAAAGCGATAAAATTGTCTATAAAAAGATAAAATAAATATTTTTTAAAATTATGTGTTATATTTTATTTGAAACTTGTCTACAAATTAATATTTTATTTCACTATAATAATAATAAAAAAAAGTATATGTTTTCCTTTAACGAAGTCAAATGTTATCGAAGAAATTATCGCTGCATTGTCTGGTTAATCTTATCGATTAATATGATTTTTTGCAATACGATAATGTACTTTTTCTCAATGTTTATATTTTATCATAAAATGAAAAATTCTGTCTATTTTTAACATATTGAAAATTTCTCTCATCTCTTTAAAAAAAATATTTGAAATAAAGATAATTTTTTTAAATAAAAAAGATTTTTTAAATAGATATTCTATTATAAATATTGTATCACAGAATAATATTTTTTAATATTCTTATAAATTATATGAATCGTAAAATATCATCATATCTTCTTGTTACATTATAAATCGAAAATTCTTTTATGTTTAATGAATCATGATCATATAGATAAGGCAGTGACATAGTAATAAATGTACTTATTTTATAATTAATTTTCATATTCATTTCATTCTATTTTGTTTAAACTTTCTTTTGTGACTTATAAATGCTATTTGTTCATTGGATATAAATTTAATTTTATTGGAAACAAATTTAATAAGATATTTTAAAAAATAGATTTCGGTATTTATAAAAATAAAAAAAAAAACAGAGAAAAAAAATTTATTTTTTCAGTTCTTTAATTTTACCTAATTAAATATATATAAATATATATAATAAATATATATAAAATATATATAACGAAATAGTGCATTTCAAGATAGTTTGAAATATAATAATTGAATGTGAAAAAAATTTTAAATCGAATAGAACATTTTAATGAAATATTATAGTGATTTTCTTATCACAAAATCAAGAGATTATTACGATGAAAGGTGTCCGATCATTAAGAATGTGCGTTCACTCACACAGTACAGTAGTCTGTTTCCGATAGTGATGATTGGCTGATTTAACTTCAATTTGTCTTCTCCTTTATTTGGATTATTTATTTTGATTTTTTTCTTGTGTTAATGAGATTGATTTATGTGCTGAAAGACATACCGCTTATTTATCACCATACACATTGTTTCTAAATTCTTTTTGCTTTCTTGTAATTCTACATTTACATATTCTTATAAAATAATAAATAAAATACATTACTGAAATATATTATATTACATAAAAATCGTGGAATTTTGTGCAAGTGTTTTATCTATTATAATATTATATAATTCGATAATTTGAAAATTTTTCTATTATTTAATTATATATGTGTATTTTTATTCGTGAGGAAATCCAAATATTATAGAACAATATATCGGTATCTGAAAGAATAAAAATGGAAGTATACGGTGGAACATTAACAAGAAATGATGGACTTAATGTTCGTGCAAAAGTATATGAAATTCAATTTTTAAAATCAAAATGACAAATTTGAACAATATACAATTTAATTTAGATGAGTGAATGTCAAAAAGCAATATCTTTCTGCTATTTTATGTAGTGAAACAAGTGAAACAATTTCACGAAAAAATTTTTTCGATTTGTCTTAAACTGTGATTTATTAATGATTATAAAGATCGTAATTTGTTGATTCATCATCAGATCAGATCAACAGAATAGTGTATTTGCCGGTGATAATAATTTTTATAATCACGATTTATTGTTATTTTCTGTGCATAAATATGTATTATTTTTGATTTAAATATTCGGGCATCGATATCCGATTATTTTAGCGAAAGATTCCGTTTGATATAGAAGGAAAAAAATTTGACAAACGTGAAAGTCATTATGGAAACATCGGACGACGATTCTTATGATTTTTGGAAGAACTGGGATTTGAAGAATTTAACGGAAACCGAATATTTGGCTAAAGTACTTGGGCCTAAATATTTATCTATGAGAATGGTGATACCGCTCACGATAATATATATGATAATTTTTGTAACTGGTATTTTCGGGAATATCGCTACATGTACCGTAATCATAAAAAATCCTGCAATGCAAACGGCCACCAATTACTACTTATTCAGTCTGGCCATATCTGACCTTATTCTACTTGTATTGGGTGAGTGTCGTTTATGTTTGCTCGTATTGATATGATACCAAGTCGATTTTCATTTTCCTTCTTCGTAAAAACAATTTATGAAGGAACAATATGAAGATAATGAACTTCGATAGATAGTTTAATAAAGATAAGCGAAAATATAGCGCAATCCCTATATAAGTATTGATTTAATCAACGCGAAATATATAATCGAAATTAGATTTACGATGATCCTTAAAACGATATTTATCCGATTAAATTGTGCTAAATGGACGGTATTTTAATTAAAATTAGTAGCATTATACACAAAAGAGCGCAATATGTTAAGTAAAGTAAATTTATATTCAAATAATTAACAGAGATTCTTTTTACGAATTAGACTATGATGTTTAGATTGAGATCGTTTTACCTTCGTTGAAATTTGACGATAAAGGCTTTAAATTAATCTTCGTCTAATGTGTACATGAGCGATTGTTATCTACTCGATGGATTGTTTGCTGATCGTAACGTCGTTTTTATTTACGTCATTTTTAGGAATTTGTTGGGGTAAAAATTGAAGACGCGCGAGTGTTTGTTTCTTTGACGAAAAAACCTTTGACAAATTAAAAGATTTGAAATAGCTACGAACGTTTACTATACATTTACAAATTTTAGCTGTGTATTCGTTACTTGAATATTCGAAATTAAAGATGATATGAGATGATAAGAGTATCATTTACATAACTATAATGAAATTTAAATATCGCGTGAAACATTGAATTTTTGATCAAATCATGGAAAAATCATTGTATAAATATGTATATTATGAAAACAACATGTAAAACTAATTTCAATATAATTTGAAAAATAGAAAAAAATTCAAATTATTATCAAATAAAATTGCGATAAAGTATACAATGCTTATACACGCTTCGGTATGATCGATATCGCGTTACCGATTTTATGAAATATTAAATGTGATTCTATAGATATTATTTGGAATTAACATTTATTCGAGAAACATTTATTTACATTTAATTTAATTATTTATTTATTATTTAACATATATCGAACGTTTAATTTTTCCATTATTAATACAAAATTCAGGAATAAATTTTCATTTGATAATTAGATCAAATCGATAAGCAATTACTGATCTAAAAGATTGAAAGATAAATAATTTTTGAAATTGTATAATAAATATTTAAATCTCAATATGGGAGCTATAACTTCTTGTCTCTTTAATTTCAACGTGAATTGTGACGTCTATGTATAAATTACTTTTCAAGCTTAATCAGTTGTAAATCGAGAAAATGAGTTTGTATACCAGAAAGATATGTATGTTTCTCAATTGTTACAATGATCATTGTTTCGATATAGATATTTGACGTCAATCGCGTGGTCATTGCAGAAATAAATTACAGATAACTATATATAAAAATATAATAAAAATATACTAGTGTTAACATGATCGAAATAAAATATCTTAATCTATTGATTGTCATCTGCAATTTTTTCTATTGTTATCGTGCTTTGTTTGACATTCGCTTTCAGGATTGCCTAATGAGCTGAGCCTGTTTTGGCAACAATATCCATGGGTTCTAGGAGTTAGTCTTTGCAAAATCAGAGCATACGTATCGGAAATGTAAGCAATATATTTTTTAATTAATTTAATAATAATATTTCTAAAAAAACTATATCACTGATTTTTATTTAAAATTTCACTTTATTTAATAGGTCTTCTTATGTATCAGTCCTTACGATAGTAGCTTTCTCTATGGAAAGATATTTGGCTATTTGTCATCCGCTTCGTGTTTATACGATAAGCGGTCTCAAAAGACCGATACGTTTCATTTTAGCTGCTTGGTCGATTGCACTGATTTCTGCCATACCATTTGCAATTTATACGAAAGTCAACTTGGTCGAATATCCACCAGGTTAATTAAACTTTAATGCATCACTTTATCCATCATTTGTAAATGTATATTCAATAAGTTTCAAAAATATATAATTGTTTAGAATCAGGGAATTATTCGGCCGATTCTGCGATTTGCGCTATGCTTTTACCATACATGCCTGATTTCCCTTTGTACGAGTTGAGTACTATTATATTCTTCTTGATACCAATGCTAATTATCTTGGTGGTGTATACTAGAATGGGTTTGAGAATCAGAAATAGTACGAAAGATACTTTGAACTCTGTGGTACAAGGCGCTATTCACGGAGATTCGAGACAAATTCAATCTCGAAGATCTGTGATTAAAATGTTAAGTAAGATTTTATCTTGGATTTTTTTTTAATGTAACTTTTTTTTTTTGTTTACAAGAAACATAAATCATAATTATTGTTTTAGGTGCTGTGGTTATTTTATTTTTTATTTGTTGGGCTCCTTTTCATACTCAGCGATTACTCTACGTTTATGCGCAAGAATCTGATTATTATCCAGACTTGAACGAATGGCTGTATATTTTAAGCGGATGTCTCTATTATTTCAGTACAACTATAAATCCCATTTTATATAATTTGATGAGCATAAAATACAGAAATGCGTTCAAACAAACAATTTGTTGTAAAACGAGGATAAGAGCCAGAAGAAGTTGGGTTACGAGAGAATCTCAAATGTGTAATAACAGTTCGAGCGATAAAGCACGAAATTCAAGCTTCAAATGTTCTATGAGGTAGTAACATTACTAACGCAGTGACACAAAAATGTTTTACAAATAATAATAATTTCTGTATGTTATTTAATATACTTATGATTTTAGATATACTATTAATCAAGCGAAAGAAATGTTTCGATTTACTCCAAGTCAAGAAAATGGTGGCAGAGATAAAAACATGAACGATAATGTTCCTCGTAAATCATACATGTTGAAAAAAGAGGATTCCACATCGAGACCTCTTCTTAATCGAATGCATTCCGCACAAGAAAAATGGGAGAACAAAAATTTAGAATGTAAAATGAAAGATGAAAAATCCACGTCTACATCCAGCAGCATTTTGTAACTTAAATTGTACATTTTTAGATATTAAATTATTGTATATAAAATAATGTTAAATTAAGTTAATTTTAAGTTAAGTATCCATTTTATTTATTTTTTGACGATATATAGTTGTATTTTTAAATTGATTTTTATTCGATTAATAATTATAGTATAATAATAGTAAAAGTAGTTTTAATAGTAAATTGTGAAATTCATAATGTACACAAGATAGACACAAATAAACAGTATTTTTTCGTCATATTTTATAGCATCATTTTTATAAAGCAGAAATTCTATAAGAAAGACGAATAAAAATCTCTTAACGTCTAAAAGTGTGAGTAAAGAATGGGTTCCTGTATCAAAGAATGACGACACTATTAAATGTGTTTGTTAAAGACGAATCTTTTTCAGGAAATTAATTTAAAAATGTCTGGGGCCGTGAGAAATATATCTTATAAAATTTTCTTAGTATATAACTACTTTTTTCATTAAATTATTTTATTAAATATTTCAAACATATTAAAAATATTTTATTTATAAACAAAGTTAAATTGAAAATATATTCTCTTCATTTTATTTCAATTCCTTGTTTTTATTTATTTATTTATTTCCCTTTTTTGTTTATATACATATCAAAATTCACATATTGAGAAGAAGTTAATGAAATAAATATGAGAAAAACATGAAAAATATATAATAAAATTCATATAATACTATTACTAGGAAACGATGAACGTTATTTGAATATTTAAAAATAGTGCATTCCTAACGAAACTTTTCCAAGAATTGTTTAACCGAGAAACAGAATTTAATTAATTTCCAGAGAGTTTTAAATATTGATTGACAAGTTCAAACTTTGTAATGAACGTAGACGAAGAAAATATGATAAAGTTACGTCTGTATAAAGTTTATCATCATGAAAATTAAAGTTATGTTGCTATAAAATATCCATTTCTCGAGTTCACATATGATCAACGAAAAACTTTAAAGTTTATGGTTTATTTAATGGAATTCCATATTTGCGGGAATGAAAATAATTGCAAAACTTTTGATTATCTTGTTATGTAATTGATTTATTTGGGACAACCGTGTTAGAAATTAATTCTAGTTCTAAAATTATAAAAATTTTACAAGATGAAAAAAATCTAAGCATCTATCTGCAAAATAATATAGCATAGTATCCAATAATATTGTCTCTTAAATTGATCTAGAAAATAATTCTTATCGATGAACAAATGAATGTGTCATCAATTTCGTCTGTCCAAATTGTCAAAATGAATGGTATAACCTGAATTGAATTTTCCCTACAATTTTCCGTCCACAATATTCTATCACAAAAGAATGTTAGAGATAATATCTGAAGAACATAAAAGTGGCAGTATTCGAAAAGATAATGTTCGATTTGATAGAATATTTCTATTGTTTGATAAAATTACTCATCTTTGTGATAGTCGAATGCTTCTTCTCGGTGTACACGTGTATTCTTCGAATAATTTTTATACAATTAACGGGAGAGAAATCATTGCAATGGGTAATATTATTTTCTTACGTAGTAGTATTAAATTGTATAAACTTGTTAACTTCATTCACATTCTCTAATGTACACGATTTTATTGATATTTTTATATATTTTCCTCTTTACTTTTCAGACTCAACGTTTTCTAATCTACTATTTATCTAAATACTTCCTTGTAAACTGAATAAGGACAAAAAGGAAACGTAATGCTATTATCTCGGTACACGGTAAGAAGACTTCAAAGGTAAAGCGTGAAATACGTGTCGTAAAGAAAATAGGAATTTGTTTCGTATTCTGTTTTCGTTTTTGTCCACGTTCATTCATTATATAATCTAATAAAATTATTTCTCATTTTTTTTTTATTATTTTTCCATTTACGTAAAAAAAAGTTAAAAAAATAATTATATTGTAATTTATTTCAATGTCAAACCATCATATATTTTTCAGTTTATTTTCTACATTTTTATTCTTGGCATGTTGACTTTAATCCTCGATTCGTGTGCTTCGCCAATAGAAAAACCTTTCAAATATGAAGATCGTTTGTTGCTCTGCCATTTTAATCAGATACATCTTCCAAAGCATGCAAATGAAATTGCTAAATTTAACCGTGATAAAAAGAGAAAATATTTGGTGAAATCTTTGACAAAAAAATCGAAAAAAAAATATGTAGTTCAGTTTTTTCTTGAAAATACTGATTCTGAATCTAATAATTAAATAAAGAAGATACCGAAGATTATTCTATATTTTATTGCGGAATTTTTTTGAATTAAAAGAATTACTAAAAGAATTATACAAATAAATGCAAAAGTTAGAAACCTAAAGATAAGATACCTAAACCAATCCAAAAAATATTCAGAGATGATGGAAGATTCGTGAATAATTGCAACATACAAGATAAAAATTTTAGAGACGCGAAACAAGATCGAAAAAGAAAAAACTTCTTGAAATCAAGACCGAACATATAGGAATGTTTATGATTTATTGATTATAAGAGAAAATGTGACATTCTGTGTATAATATGAATTGAAATAAATTTATACTTTGACATTATGAAGGTGGTTTTCAATATTGAACTATATAATTTAAATATACTAAAGATATCCTTTGATATTATTTTCAACTTTAGGTGATGTTAATTGCATGTATTAGTATGATTTAAGATCATTCATAACAACCCAAGTATAAACTTCTAATAACGACGAAGATCTTAACGAGCTCTTCACGCACACCTTGGAATTTTCTTCTTAAGGAGATCAAATGATGCCAAATCTTCGCAATTCGAGTAATAATATTTTCATTCATTTATTCTTTTGACGTGATCGAGCGAAATGATCTAGCAAAATTAAATTTTCGAATATATATATATAT